AAGTCATTACGTTGGTTTGGAAATTTTTTTACAGTCATCTGAATTTAATTTTCATTGTGTAAAAAAAATCATGGAAAAAAATGAGTTTCATGTGCTTATTAAACATTATTTCCTCCGTGGAAAATCAATCAAAGTAAACTGAAAAATAGCTCAGAAAATATTATGGAAACCCTGCTCCATCATATAGCATGGTTCAGAAGTGGTTTACTGAATTTCGTTGTGACTGTAAGAACACAAATGATGCTGAGCGTCTTGGCCGTTCAAAAGAGGTAAATACTTTAGATATGATCAATAAAGTTCATGATATTTTACTTGCCGATTGTCGATTGAAAGTGCGTGAAGTCAGTAGGATGCACATGGATATTTTACATGAATGTTTGAGCATGAAAAAGTTTTCTGCAAGATGGATGTCGTGCTTGTTCACAGCTGATAATAAGCGAACTCGTATAGTTTCGTCTCAGCAATTTATAAGCATGCTCCAACGTAATCCAAAGGAGTTTTGCTATAGTATATTACTGTTGATGAAACATGGATTCATTATTATCCGCCAAAAACGAAAAATCAGTCCAAAATATGGACTAGGCTAGGTGAATCTGCGCCAAAAACAGCAAAGACGGTACGATCAGTCCAAAAAATCATGACTACGATTTTTTAGGACTCAAGTGGTATAATATTAATCGACTACTTACAGAGTGGAAGAATTATTACAGGAAAATATTATACCTCATTATTAGACGGATTTGATGCCATACTGAAGGAAAAGCGGCTCCATCTGGCGAAAAAAGAGTTTCTTTCCACTACGACAATGCACCAGCTCACAAGAATCCCATTGTAACAGCCAAATTATTTGATTTACGCTCCACCTTATTATCCAGACTTGGTCCCTTCTAATTATTTTTGGTTTCCTGACGTGAAAATTTGTCTTGCGGGTAAAAGATTTTCATTCAACGAAGAGGTAATTGCTGCTACAAATGAGTATTTTAAGGAGTTTGATAAAAATTACTTTTCAGAGGACATAAAAAAGCTTGAGCACCGCTATAATAAATATATAGAGTTAAAAAGACACGATGTTGAAAAATTGAAATTATTTAAATAAATAGTAATTTTTTATTTAAAGTACCGGACTTATTGAACGACCCTCATAATTCCATCCCTACCTTTTCACAAGTCTACAGAAGGAGAAACGTACCTCGAAGACCATATTCTATCAGTCAAACGATGTCAGACGAACGATTTTATTAACTAAAATTAATAAAAACGTTCATTCCATTTCATTTCGAAGTGGTTGCAGCATAAACACACATGCGACATTCAAAATATTCTTCTTCGTACGAACTAATCATACGCAATTATTTGTTCACACTCTGCATTCTTACGATTTACTTTATTTTCGAACTTTCAAAATATTAATTGATATAAATTTACATATTGCAAATTTTAGATCCACTTTATCGTGTTTTAAAATATCATGGATTGTAAACATTTTCTACTAAAGAATTGGTTGGTGACTTAATTTTTTAAAGGCTTACAAAATAAAAGAGTAATTAATATTATATACAGTGCCCATTAGTCACTTTTGCCAGACATACACCAAAATCAGGCAAACTTGAAAGTTTCATATCTCAGTCGGATATTATTATATAAAAAAAATCAAGGTGCATGTTGAAGATTGTTATAATAACTTCTATTTAGCATGTAATGAAAGTTAAAAAAATAAAAAAACTATGTTTTTTACGATAAAAAACAAATAAAAAATATTTCGATTTATTTCATCTCGATTCAATCAATTTCAGATTAGAACTAATAATAGGAGAACAAATATACCGACAGATATCAGAAGCTAGTCTCTTCCCCTTTACTATGATCACCTGTAAATTTGCGTGCGACCTTTTTAACTGGAGTTAGTCATTTTTGTAAAAAAAACAGCCTTATTTTAAATCTATCATTACCTCTAGTTCTATTGGTTTTAGGAAAAAATATTATAAAGAAAAAAGTTTTGTTTGATGCCCCAAAACACGGAAATAAAATCCACATAAAAAAATAATGGAGAATCAGAGAATTAATTAATTTAATTAATAAATTGTACAGTGAAATCGGTATGACAAAAATACAGTTTTTTGAGCATTTAACCTTTAATTGACCTTCTCAGGTCCTAAATACAAACTTGAAATATCATTTTGGATGTAATTTTTCCCGCTCTGCACGATTCCGGCGTCAAAAATATGGGTTCCAAATAAAAAAAGGCCTTTGACCTTCAAATTACCTCAAAAATCGAATTAAGGGTCAAAGTTGATGATAGCATTTAATAACCTACTCATTCCCCTACAACTTTTATAGAGGTCATTTTTTAATAACGTTCATTTTTACTAGGTTATGCGCGTGGTCGGATTAAATTGAAATACCCTGTATAATCAATAAATAATCATATAACTAGTAATGAATGCAGCAAAATTACAGAGAGGCATAAAAATAGATTAAACGAGTAAAAATTTTTTTTCCATATCTTTAATTTCACTTTATTTCCGTCTTTTGGAGCATCAAACAAAACTTTTTTCTGAATCACATTTTTTTCTAAAACCAATAGAACTAGAGATAATGATAGATTCAAGATGAGGCTGTTTTTTTTTACAAAAATGACTATCACGTCAGTTAAAAAGGTCGCATGCAAATTTACAGGTGATCATAGCAAAGAGGAAAAGACTAGTTTTTAACCCTTTGCGGCATAGTGGTAAGTACGAGGTGTGTTCAAAAAATAACGAGAATTTTCGTTTTATGAAAAAAATATTTATTTATTTATCTACATTAATGTTGTCGCCTTCAAAGTAGTCCCCTTCGGATACAATACACTTATGCCAACGCTTTTTCCAATCCTCGAAACACTTTTGAAACTCGATCTTTGTAATAGCTTTTAGCTGTTTCAGCGATTCGCTTTTAATGTCATCTATGCTTGTAAAACGACGGCCTTTTAATGTTCTCTTTATTTTTGGAAATAGAAAAAAGTCACATGGAGCCATATCTGGCGAATATGGAGGCTGAGGCATCGTTACAGTTTCGTTTTTGGCCAAAAATTCACGAACAAGCAATGAAGTGTGAGCAGGCGCATTATCGTGGTGCAAAAGCCATGAATTGTTTTGCCACAAATCCGGGCGTTTTTTTCGGATTGCTTCACGCAAACGACGTTGAACTTGTAGGTAGTACTGCTTATTGATTGTTTGACCTTGTGGCAAGAATTCATAATGCACTATGCCATTAAAATCGAAGAACACAGTGAGCATAACCTTGACATTCGACCGCACTTGTCGAGCCTTTTTCGGTCTTGGCGATCCAGAATGCCTCCACTGGGACGATTGAGCCTTAGTTTCGACATCATATCCGTAAACCCATGTTTCGTCACCTGTTATAACACGTTTTAGTAGTTCTGCATCGTTATTGACTTCATTTAGCGACTCCTGAGCAACTTCCATTCGCCGCTGTTTTTGTTCGAAATTCAACAATTTTGGAACGAATTTTGCTGCCACACGTTTCATACCCAAAACATTCGAAAAAATTTGATGGCATGAGCCAACTAATATGCCAACATCATCAGCGACTTCTCTGATTGTGATTCGGCGATCGTTCATAACCATTTCTTTCACTTTTTTCACGTTTTCATCGGTTGTTGATGTGCTTGGGCGTCCGGGTCGTTCGTCATCTTCAACGTTTTCGTGGCCATCTTGGAAACGCTTATACCACTCATAAATCCTTGCTTTACTCATAGCAGACTCACTACATGCCTTTGTTAACATTTGACAAACTTTACTACACTTTATTTCATTTTTTACGCAAAATTTAATACAAATTCTTTGATCCATTTTTTTTCACAAACGAAAATCGCCGAGCTCGAAAAACACGTCTAACGTTAGCGGCTGCCACTTAAAAAGTAAGCAATGAATATTGCTGAAAATTTTATCGTACTTCAGGGGCATGTGTATCAACATAATAAAAAAAAATTTTATACAAGCGGACTCTCCAAACCCGCGAAATTTAAAAATTCTCGTTACTTTTTGAACACACCTCGTATACTTACCACCTTTTTGAAATGAGATTTTCATGTATGAAGGGCTCTAATAAATCGTTGCTCACGGGGATTTTTAATATTTTATCCTTCTAATATGTTAATGAATGTATAACTATATCAAATTATCGATTTTTAGTCGCCATTTTTTAAAAAATGGCTGAAAAGTGCACCAAAATGACGATTTTTTAGAAAAAAAATGTAAAAATTATAGCAGAATATAGTATGGAATGGCGAGTGTAAAAAAAACACTGAACAAACACATGGGTCTGTCATATATCGGCTTTCTACTTCCATTCAGGATACTTCAATCTAGCTGAAAAATGGATCCGCCATATTGGATCCGCCATCTTGGAAATTAAAATTTTCAAATTCTGACTTCAGATTCGTAATCAGTGACCCCAAAAACCTACCGGGTAACAGTTTTCATATTTATATTATTGTTTCAAAAATGTGTGCCGCAAAGGGTTAATCTCTGTTAGTATATTTGTTCTCCTATCACTAGTCCTAACTGGAATTGATTTGAATCGAAATGAAATAAATCGAAATGTTTTTTATTTGTTTTTTATCGAAAAAAACGTAGTTTTTTATTTTTTTAACTTTCTTCATGTGTTACATGGAAGGTATTACAACAACCTTCATTGTTATTGATACGATAATTTCCGATTGAGATACAAAACTTTCAAATTTGCCTAATTTTGGTCTAGATACGGCAAAAGTGATTGATGGGCAGTGTAGATGAAGATTTTTCAGATAGTTTTGCTAGTTTTTATAATTTGTTGAAAAAAATATTATTTAATATTTTCTAAATAATTTTATTTGGTACTATTACTTTTTGCCAAACTAGAGATTAACTATAGTAATTTAATGATTATTATATTTGTTTATTTTATTATTTAATATAAATTTTTATTGATATATAAATATAAATATATTATACTTTTAGTGAACATTCAACGATCTGGGTTAAAGAAATACGAGATGATGTAATTGAAGAATGCAACAAACATGGCGGTGTATTACACGTTTATGTCGATGAAGCTTCACCGCAAGGAAATGTATATGTAAAATGTCCATCAATTGCTACAGCCGTAGCTTCAGTCAATTCTTTGCATGGTAGATGGTTTGCAGGCCGCGTTATTACTGCTGCTTATGTACCAGTTGTTAATTATCACTCTCTTTTTCCGGATTCAGCAGCAGTACTTCAATTACTTACACCCAGTATTCCACGGAAAGGGATATAAGAAAATTACATAATTACAAATTTACCAAACTGTAAAATATAGAAGTGATAAATACTAAAACAAGACTTTGAATCGATGAGTATGATGATGTATCGTCATTATAGCAATGGATTATTTCTTTTTGTAAAAATTATTATCATGTTTTACTATCATCTATTATTAAATGATGAATTTCATTCATATGAATTGACTATGTTTTAAATATATTAGTTGAGAAAAAGCATACCTTTTATTTTACAGAATTCGTACCATCTCTGTGTTTATCATTCATATGAAATAAGCGCTGAAATCAATTTAATATTGCGAAGCTAAACGCGGTATCGATGATAATGCCCCCACGGGTAGTTTAAAGTGAGTTGAACCCAAAGTTTCTGTCACGACAAAAATTCTAACAGAGCTCGATTTCTGCATGTTTACTAAGTTAAAATCCGTTCGAACGATAATTCTATCTAGTATAATTCTCAAATGCAACTTTATTTTCGATTTATTTTTTAATTTGATAAATAAATGTAATAAAAAAAATTATTTTTGAATAATAATTACACACGAACATACGTATATACGCAAGCGTACATTCGGGTGTGTATCTAACGTGTAATTTTGTTCAATTTCGGCGACTTTTGGCAGTATAGTTGATCACTGGCTCCAGTGAAGGTCAAAGTGTTGAGCCAGGTAAAAGCAAAGAATATCGATTATTCTGCATAATAAAGCACTATGAAACTGTATCGCACAAGAATACCATTCAACTTCCTTTTAATCTAATATTATTTTGCAGCAAAAGGATCAATCTTCCTAATAAGTTTATAAAAACAACAAAATTCTCTGACACGCTACACATCGCATCAAATAGCAATATGACAGTAGATTCAGTCTGAAGGAATGTTTTACGTAGAACCACCCGTATTATTTTAATTCTGCCGTCGAATAATGCTCAATATTTAAAGGCAAGTCTTTTCATTATATATACCATGAAATACAAAGAAATGCTAGTTACTTCCGTTGGAGGCGCATGCATTCAATCTGCTAATAACAAGCCAGGTCGTTAGAATAGCCATTCCATCCGATGTACCACTGAGAACAAGGAAATTTCAGTATTCTTAGATTACTTCATATACATCATAAGGTTGCTATCAGTTAATACCAGAAAACTGCACTATAATGTAGTAATCTTTTACAGAGAATGGAATAGTCTGTCTGATAATACAGAAAAAAAGAATGATACCTCCATTTTTGTAATTTATCCTATACCTCCCGTAATCTGCCTTTTTAATATGAGCACTTGCAAAATTTATAAAACTATGCATAGCAATATGATAGTAGCTGCAGCCAATTTTCATAAGACAATATGCATTAGTTCAATTCTGCCATCAAATTATATTCAATATTTAAAAAAAATTTCTCGGAACAGCCTTTCCATAAGACATACCATTTGTTAATCGGTACAAGTCGAATTTTATTTTCGTACACATTTCAACATCATTAATTACAAGAAAATGCTGGTTACTTCCGATGAAGGCGCATGTATTCAGCCTGCTAAATTATAATAAAATTTAACTACTCTATGTACGACATACAGTTGCATGCAAAAATGTCCGGCCAGACATTTTTTTAATTATGTAATACATAAAAGGTGTAAAATGAAAAGATTCGCTTACTATCGTAAAATACTTTATTAAGTTACTAAACTATGTAATTAGAACATTTTATATCAATATTTTTAATTATTTCTAACAAAAAAAACAACTTTTAATTCTTCGTAAATATCCGGTCAAACAAAAACAACGCATGATGTGTACAAAATCTTAAGAAAAATCAATCAAAACTATTAACACAGGATCAATATAACAAAGATAAATAAAATTTCTATCAATACTTTGTTAGCCATACTCTTTACAGCAGCACAGCGATGAGGCATCGATTCGATAAGTTTCTGTATTTGATTTTTAGAGTTATTTTTCTACTCTTGCCATATATGTGCTATGGAATTCAAGTCTGGAGATTGACTTAGTTTTAATTATATTCAGCTTTAAGACTTAATTTTAATTATATTCAGCTTAATTTTAATTTTAATTATTTCCATTATTCCAAAATTTATCATTTAAGAAAACTATAGGAGAATTAAGACAGAATATTACGTATGACTTCTCTATACTTAATAGCGCCATCAATTTTAAAAATTGGACCCATGCCTTTCCATGAAAGTGCACTCCATAACATGATGCTGCCTCCTTCGTATTTCACAGATGGTATTTGATATCGCGAATAATTTCTGGCACTTTTTGGTCGCCGAACTTATCTTTTTTCGTCATTTCCAAGCAAATAAATTTTAGTTTCGTCTGAAAATAACACTCTTTCTAATCATTTATAGTCTAGTGCTGGTATTTTTTTGCAAATTCTAGTCTATCTTCCTATTTTGCTTACTAATAAGCGGCTTTTTAATACCAAAACGTCTAAAAAATTCCACTTTTGTTAACCTTCGTGACATAGTACTTTGACTAATATCAACGAAATTTACTTCACGTAAATCGCGTACGATGACTGCAGCATTCTTCACGTTTGAGACAGCCTTCCTTTTGATTATTTTAGCAACACGATTAGTTGTTTTTCTATGCCGTCTAGCATTACCTTTGGCTTCTAAAGTATCTGTTATCTTCAATTTATTAATTATATATCTGCTCAAAATCATAACGAGTGTTGACACATTTGGTTGCAAGCTCAATCATTGAACCACCGGTCAACGGAAACCAACAGGAGTCAAACTTATATCGGAGAGTCACCTTGACCTGGAAAATATACGATTAAAAAATATTGCTCCTCCATATTATACTAATGATATCATTAAGCGAGGTATTCTACTTCGTATCGTTGGAATGGAAATAAGAGTGAAAGAAGCTATTGAAAATGCTAAAAACAGACTTAGCAAGCATGAAGAGAGTGATAGAGGAGTTTTATAACCCCAAAAGACGTAACTATCCTCGACGCAAGTATGATGTTCGCGCTGTCGACGAAACCTGACAAGCCGATCTCGTCGTTATCCAGGCTTATTCACGATACAGTCACGGCTAAAATCGACTTCTCACAATTATGAACATTATATCCAAGTAAGTCGGAACTATATCAGTAAAAAAGAAAACCAGCAGCAATGTGGTAGCCACTGAAAAATCTGTTTTAGTGAAAAGTCACATGACTAATCTCCACACGGACAGAGATAAGGAATTCTATAATTTTGACGTTGAAGTTCTTATGAAATAATACGCGATCAATCTTTACTCAACTTATAGTTTATTCAAGACTTCGGTATTTGAATGATTTAATCGCACGTTAGAAAATGCAATGTGGAAAAAGTTCAGTCGTCGCGGGAACTATAAGTGGCTCTGCATACGTATTACTTGAGCTTACGAGTACTGCAGCCTACAATAATTGCAAGGATAGAACGTTTGGTATGAAACTTATTCAAGTGACTACTACGAATGAACCTCTAGTATTACGTAAATTCGTTCAAGTGCATGAAAGGCCTATGCCAAATTTCATTGTTGGCAATAAAGTATAAGTTAGCAATACAACTCAAATGCTTAAAAGGATGTACACCAATTGGTTTACAAAAATATTTACTATAACACGTGTGGCACCGATGCATCCAACTACTTATTATCTGAAGAATTATAAAGATCAATCTATTCTCGGCAGCTTCTATAAGCAATAATTTCAGAAAGCAATACATTCCGTTGTTGATTTGGTCAAAAAAGGTATAATAAAACATGGAAATCAAGTTTTGATAAAGTGGTTAGATCACGATAATTTACATCAATACTTGAATTAATAGAAATGAATTGTACAAACTAATAAAATCTTTTCAATTATGTACATTTATTTTATTTTACGCTTAATTTAATACCATTCCCGCCTTTGTACGTTAAAAATACTTTGAATTTATTTGCAATTGTTACCATTTTATCTAATAATTCAGGATTGTTAGCTAATATAGTAGATACCTTTAATGGTAAAAATGTCTGAAATTCAGCCTGAACTCTAAGAAGACTTTCACGTCATATTTCGTCTCAACTGCTCATAGTTTGGTGATCATTTAGTGACTGTATATCTCTAAATTGCCCACCTTCTTAACTGGTTTGATTTCATCTCCACCAATCATATTTTTCAAGAGTCTACTGTTGTATCCATATTTTATCTACAATTATGAATCGATGCAGAAAATCGTTCGGATTATGATGAATGCGCGCCAAGAGGGCGCAACTCGACTGCGTTTGTTTTCGACTGAAAGCAAACGCGGCAACTATCTTGTCGAAATTTTTCTCATGTCCAATTTCTCATACAAAATTGAAATGACTGTACCTTTTGAAATCCCTGTAGCCTCAACTATTGCACGCAATTTTATTCTTTGGTCACTCAACACCATGTCGTGGAATTTATTGGTCGTTTTCGGAGAGCTCACGTCTACAGGACGGCCTGAGTGATGTTCATCTGCAGTCGATGTACGGCCACGTTTAAATTGATTTACCTATTTGTAAACAGTTGCAAACACAGAGGCATATACACCATGAACTACTTTTAACTCGGCTTTAATTTCTTCCGTTTGTAAGGCCTTTTTAACAGAAATATTTTATCACTGCTTGGAACTCCCTCTCTTCCATTGTTAACAAGAAACTAAAGTTGTTCACTTTGATCTACGATAAAAACAGAACTACTCTATGGATTTGGCTGTAACTTCGGCAGCACTCTATTTAATAGTGACGTTTGTTGGTGTGCAACATGAGTTGGGATGCCTTGAGCATCATCTCTTGGATTTTGTAAGTACTTTTTGACCTACCCTTGTATCTTTTTTCCTAGACCATGACAAGGTATCAGTGATCCCTGGTAACAGAAAACGTTTGTCGTCTTGTGCATTGAGTGCAATCTCTCTCTCTCTCTCTCTCTCTCTCTCTCTCCCTCTCTCTCTCTCTCTCTCTCAGGTAAGCATCACAGCATCTTTTCAATGACTCTTCAACAAATACAATTTATCTAACCATTTGGCATCATACTTTCGAGCAAACTGTTCCAGATAGTGCATTTTCCACGGGACTAACAAGTGTACGCTGTTTCATGCATAATTGTTTGCATTTTACCCTGGAATTTGCATTACTTGAGCAACCAGCATCACCTAACCTCTTTCACCTGAATCAACACCACATACGTCACTCTACTAACTGGATCAAT